GTGATCCATAGGATAAACCCCTGAATTGTGGCTGGCTTGAGCCATATCTACAGCTTCCCTGGAGGTGGATAGATGAACCCCCAAACCTCATACACAGGGACAGTGTGCTGTCCCTGCCAGCAGTTCTGGGCATGAGAAAGCAGGGCTGGTCCCTGGGGGATGCCTTTGGGGAGCCAGCCAGGCCCACTGAGCTGAGCTGGGCCCCACTTGGTCCAACTCCTCTAGGCGTTGGGGCTTGAAATAGCAGCCACTCAAGAGCTGACAATCAAAGGGCAGCTAAAAAAAGGCCCCTCAGTCTGGGCTCTGTCGCACACGGCTTATACGGCCTATTTTGGGGGAGAGGGTGCCGACGTGCCAATGGAAAATCCAGGGGCTGGGAGTCTCCAAAGTGGGGACCCTAGACCCCCACCCCTGAGTGTGTGCATGCATGCACGTGCATGCACACACATACAATTGCAGCCCTTAGCCCACCTTCCTGGCCACTGGACCCTTTCTGCCTACAACAGCCTGGGAAACTGAAGCTCAGAGAAAGGAAGTGAATTGCCTGAGGCCGCTCATCTAAGCTTGGGCAGGGCTACGGCCAGACTAGGTTTCTGTGGTCCCCAGTCTGGAGCTCTTCTCAGGAGGCAGCCTTCACAGAGCAAGCCAACAAACACATTGTCCTTGGACAGTCAAAGGCTAAGAGAAGCGAACAGTGGTGGTGTTCTGAGTTGGAGTGGGTAGGAGCGGAGGAGAACGTGTGGGAAGAAATCTCACTAAGAACCCCCATGTCACCCATCTGGCATGGCTGTAGAAGAGGCAACTTGAGCATGGTCTCATAAACAGTGAGCCCAATTCCCAGTACCGGAAAAAAAAAAAAAAAAAAGTGAGCCCAGCCTCTGCCCCATGGGGTGACCACTTCACGCCTGCCTTGCCTGGGCCCCCAGAGGGTGGCAGCCCTTGCCAAATTTCCAGAGAATGTGTCAGATAAGGGGCCAGTGCTTGTGACTCTCTCCCATCCTGCCACTATCTCTGACCCTATTGCCATGGCCAAGTGGGTAAGAATAGCAACAGCCACGGTGAGTGGGCACACACAAGGCCATCACAACTTGGGACAACACAGCAACACCCTTGAGAAGACAGATGTGGCTCTCAGGTGGAGGACAAGCCTCAGGCTCCTCCTGCCTGTCAGTGCCAGCCCTGCCTGGCTCTCTGTCCTCCTGGGCCCCAAGTTCCAGCACATGGAATGGTAAAGAGCAAGCTCAGTGCTGCCTCTGGTGTCTCTGGGGAGAGATCCGGGGAGAACTGCCCACCATGGAGAGGCTATGGACCTGAAGCTGCTGTTGTCCACCTTTAGGTTCACAAGCTGACACAGCACCACAACAGCTCCCGGAAACAAGGGAGACGGCCGGCTGAGGCCTTTGCCGGGGGTTAGGCCCCTCACTGTCCCGATAACCCCAGGCCGGCCTGGCAGCTGGAAGCCCCTGAGAATGCTGACTGGTCAGTGGGGATATGGATGGCATGGTCCCCATGTCCTATGTGTAAGTGGTCCATGTATATGATCACAGGGTGGAGCGGGTATGTTGTGCTGATTCCCCTGCACAAATCTGAGATACTCCTGCAGGTATGTGAGGGTAGCCACGTCACTCTGAGGGAAGAGGATGTTGTCATGGAACGCGTGGTGAGTGTCACTGTGACATTAGAAAAGGGGGAGATCCAGGGAGATTTGTAGCAATGTTCCTGAATCACTATGACACCTGGAAATAGAGCTGAGTCCCTTTTCTGTGCGTTAGTGGCCCCTGAGGCTCTCATGGGCTGACTCACCATAGGGACCGAGACTCAGCGCCACTTCCCTCCCACCCTCGCTGTCCTCGTTTCCCTCCTCTTCCCTCACATGACCTTCCCCTTGACCCTTCAGCTAGTCTCCTGTCCCCCATGTCTCCCACCTACCCCAGGCCCCTGAGGAGGAGATCAGGGATGCTCAGGAAGGAAAGGAAGAGTGGGCTGAGGCAAGCTCCTTGCACATTCATATACATCCTGAGACACTCTGACACTGCACAGACAAGGTGGTAGCACATGCTTGCACACCCACAGGCACACACGTGTGCACATGCACATGACTCATAGAGTGACAGGGCGGCCAAGGGGTCCCCCAGCACTTGTTCTGCCAGATAGGCACCACCATCCCTGTGTCTTCAGGATCCTTCCACACTTCTAAGTGCCTCTCAGTAGAAACATGTCATCCCACACCAGAGAAAGAACTTCTGCCCTGAGGCTCAATCTGGGGTCCTGGGGTAGATAAGGTGGGGGATCTTTGGGGGTCCCAAGGCTGGTTTTTTTCTTTGGGGGTAAGGGCCAGTCCGACCTCTGGGCCTCTTGCTTCAAGAGCTCTACCGTTGGGGCTGGAAAAAGTTTAAAAATATCCTCATGTTTACATTCTTTCCAAACCAGCCTCTCAGTCCTCAGTGCTGGGTCCCTTTGATCTGGCTCTGTGCCTCTGGAACGGGCCTGGGGGGGTATGAGCCCCCCACTGGAGCCTACCCTGCCATTCCCACCCCCAGCTCCAGCCCAGTCAGAGCCCTGTGAGATGTGGCTCTCAGATGGATCACAGTACCAGCAAACCTGGGGTCTGGAAAGAGCCCATGCTAGGAGTATGTATTATCTTGAGGCATCCAGCAAAGCCAGGTGGGGCTGAAACTAGGGTCTTTCTCTATACTGCCTCTCAACAGCCTGGGCCTCATGGGACTTCTGTGCAGTGTGTGCATGTGTGTGGCTGCAGGCATTTGGAGTATGCCCTCCAACAGCTTATGGACGAGGGAAAGACACTTAATTGAGCTCCTGTGGTGTGCCTGGAACTTTACTAAATGTGTTTTGCAAGGATTATCTCATGGTGATCTCCCAGCAACTCCATGAAGTGAGGCCCATTTTATCAACAAGTTAACCAAGGCTCAGGGAGGTGAAGGGATTTACTTGGGAACACACAGCAATGAGGAGGTAGGACATGGATCACATGTTCTTCTACCTGCACTGTGCAACTCGTTACCCATCCACCCCAACCATACTTTGCCCTGGTAGGTCTAGGCCTTGTCTGCAGTGTGAGGCTGGAATTCCCACAAGTGATCACTGACCCAGTGCCAATATGTTTCTCTCTCTCACCCTCAGCTTCCTCTTTAGAATGGAGGTAAGGATAAAAGGAAAGGTTTATGTCCAAAGTTGCTTAAGGAAACTGAGCACTTGACCCTGTGATTAGCTATAGCAGTGATACGACCATGGAGTGTCGTGGGGTCTGAAGGCTTCAGAATGAAGCTCTTAAACTGGGGCAGGTACCCTAATCTTCCCTGGTAACTTGATGTTCACTCTGTCCTTAATTAATTCCCCACCCACTCACCAACTCACTATCTACCAACCCACCCATGTACCTACCTATCCATCATCTTCCCTCACCCACCCAGCCACTCATCCATTCATCTCCCATCCATCCAGAACAAAGACCCAGAAGGCAGGAGGTTCTAACTCAGGCGTCACATCTCACTGGCTGTACAAACAGGGGAGGGTCTTTCCATCTCTTTGTGATCCACCGTTCTACTTTTACCAGAGGGAGCTGGCCAGCATGATCTCTGAAGCCCTTCTGGGATATCTGGGAGATCAACTAATGGCTGTGGATACTTTTAGAGAGGTCATATGGACTGACAGTCCATGTCTGCCTCCATACAGTTCTGCTTTATGCTCCAAGACTCCCAGTTATAGCCTTTTACCTCCCTGAACTTCAAGATTTTTCACTGGAAAATGGAGCCAATAATGCACCCTAGTAGGTTGGAAAAATTAGATAAAACGCAACTTCCAAAGAGCTTTCTGCTCTGAAGGGTTCCAAGTGGGTTCAGATCAAGTAGAGGATCTTGGGAAGGGGCGGAGAAACCCTGCTTGGGCTTGGGTGGTCAGCAGTGCTTGTAGTTGAGGGTGGGTCCTTGAAGCTAGGGTAGCTGGGGCCAGCCTCAGGATTCATCCACAAGCTTGCCTAGGCCAGCCAGTGTGCCTGCTCTGGCTCACTAAACTAGGCTTGGCCCCCATCCCGCAGAATCTGCCAGCAGTAGAGAGATTATCTCCTAAAAATAGGGCTGGGCCCCACCAAGGTTATTTTTCTCCCTTCCCCGTGATTTACCATTATCAGCTCTGGGTGCTTGGGACAGCAAGTCCCACCCTGACTCCCCAGAGACTGTCAGGGAGGGAGCGTGTGTAACCAGCTTGTGTCTGGAGTCAATCAAAGGGCAGAGACTGGAAGTCAGTCTGGAGGTGTGGTCTGGGCTCAGTAGTCCACCAGGATTATGGCTTAATTTTGGTTCAGAAGTAGAGGTTCACCTAAGGCAGGGACAGCTTCTGGGGGAGGCACAGGGGTTCCTGTCTCTCCCCAGTAGTGTCCATTTGAGTGATTCCCCTCCCCTGACTTCCTGCAGATGCCTCAATTGAAATCCAGAAATGCCTTGAGCATCACTGGGGCAGAAGGGCCCATTCTCTGGCTTCATTTTTCCTGACCTTCTCTTGCCAAGCCCTCAAGATTCCTATGTAGATGCCTCCTGAGACTGAGGGGTTTCTGTCCACTCCTGGGTACAGGTGACTCCAGCACAGGGACACAAGAGTGCTCATGCACAAGGAGAGGACATGTACTTACAAGATTACTCCTGGCCATAGCAAAGCTAGTGGCCTGAAAATACAGGAATGACTTGGAAACACTGTTCCTTGACCTTCACCTGCACAGTTAATCCAGCCAGGGTCTAGTTAATCCACCAGGTGGATGGTGTGCGCTGGATACCCAAGAAAGTGACTCACCTTGCTCTGGCCCCAAGATCTCAGCAGCACTCCATAGGATGTCCTGTATTATTCCATACAGGGGACCCCAGGCTTTTCCTCAAGTCCCCAGACCCATTCTGTGCAGCAGGAGATAGGGAGGACACAAAGGGCAGGTGTGTGCACTCACACACATGCATGTGCTCACACATACGGACACTCAGACATGGGCACAGCAATAGTTTAGGGCCCAGCCCCACTCTCTAAAGTTTATTATTGGACAATGAGTTGCCATTTAGCGTACTGTCATGGGCAGTCCATAAAGTCAGAGGTTCCCTTTGGGGATTTGTCTGGTGATAGTGCCTCCACCTCAGGAATGTACTGGATCTTTCCCGGTGGATTCAGTTGGAGCCAGGTCCAAGCTTCCTGCTGGGGCTGCCTGGATCACTCAGACGGCCACCTTCAGGGGCATGCTGTCTGCTGGTTGATCCAGGTCCTTCTTCCTTGCCAGGGCCAAGTGTGTGAAGATGAGGATGAGGAAGAAGCCTGAGGGGCCCAAGAGGGATGGATCAGCCCTCACAGGGGTTTTGGGGGCTTGCCTATTACTAGGGATTCTCTGCTATTTGTATCAGTTTCATAAAGAAATGAACTTTCCTAACAGCTTCCCCAATACTGGCTGGGTATGACTCCTGGTGCCTGGGAAGTCTGCTTGGTTTTCTCAGCGATCACCAGGTCCTCACTACACCAAGGCCATCCAGCATACCCCAGCCTCCAAAGTCCCCTTCTCCGGAGGACAGTTTGGATGGAGTGCATCTGAGAGCCAGTGAGTTGTTCCCACAGACCTCCAAGAGAAAGGCACAACATAGTATTGTGGTAGAACCAGCAAAGAAAACCAACAAGGGAAACATTTAGGAGGCTGGAGAAAAAAAAGAGACAGAGAGGGTAGCTTGGATGGAAGGAATTAGCCTGGAAAGACCTAGACTCTGCTACATTTTGGCTGTGTAACCTCAGACAAGTTATTAAATCTCTCTGAGCCACAGTGACCTCATCTGCAAAGTAAAAAGATGCCAGGATCCATCTCACAGGCTGTGGAGAGCATCCCACATGATAAACCATGTAACTTGCCCAGCATAAGGCCTGACGCACAGCTAGTGCATGATAATGCAATGGTAAATCCCGGTATTGATGATGGTGATGACTATGATTTCAGGCGACAAGAGCATAATGACTATGAGAGTTGGGGATTCCTTTTCTAGACCTGGGGCACTATGGGAACAGGGAAACTTTTTATTTGTATAGTATGGCTCCAAACCACCCACTGTTCTCCCCAATATAGAATCCCAGCCTCCATTACCTATTGCTGCCAGAGTGCCCAGGAGGGTGCCCATGGCCACCAGCTTCGTGGGCATGCCTTTCATGCGGCCCACCTTGCGCATGCACTCCCCCTCCACATTGCAGCGACACACAATCACTAGGGGAGAGGAAGGTGACAGCAGTGGGAGAGGGCTCTCCTGCTGCTTGGAGCCTCCCATCTGGCCAGCTGGCTGATATGCATGTTTGTACACACACCTGTGCATGTGTGTGTGTGAAGGTGCATGCTCCTTTGTGCAGGTACTGATTACACAGAGGTATGTGGGTCTGGCCAGTTATGCAGGTGTGCATGAGCATATGCTGTCAGTGTGAGCGCCCATGATGTATACATAGCCCCTATGCTCTGCACCCTGGTAGCTCCCTCAGCATCTGCAGATGCCAACCTTGCCGCATCTAAACTCCAGCCTCACCTTGGACCAGGAGCTGCCATGTCTGGGCGTTGTGGCTGACAACCACAGGGACTTCATGTTCACCTGGTTCTACCCAATGCAGGGCCAGGGTGAGGTAGGCATGGGAACCTGTTGGGTTGCAGACAATATGCATGGTCACTAACCTACACTGGCACCCTGGAGACTGTTCCTTCTAGGCCCAGCCCCCACTCCCAGCAGGGAGGGAGGCCCCCCTTTCCCTGTCTTGGTCATGGAATTTCACCCCCCACTACATACCATTGAGAGGTTGGAGGCGCCAATCCCGCTGCACTGTAGGGTTGGGGCCAAGGGCGAAACTGTAGGGACTTGGCACACTGGCCAGGTCAGGATCCTCACTGAGTCCACTGACAACAACACCATAGTCCTGGCGGGGTGTGCAGAGGTATCGGGCAGGCATGGGTGCCAGAGTCAGAGCTGGGGCAGGAGGGGCCTTCAGGAAGTGAACCACTAGGGTAGCAGAAGCGCTCAGTCTTGGCTCATCTGTGATGTTGAGGATGAGGGTGAGCTGGGGAGTCCCTGGGGTGGTCCATCTCCCACAGCCTACTGGTCTCACTTGCTGCCTCCCTGCCACTATCCCTCCACTTCGCCTGCTCTGTCATCCTGTCACTACCCACATGCCAGTCTCTTTCTGACAGTGGGCTTCATCCCTTCGTTATCTGAATAGCTGCCAAGCCCACCTGTAACTTTTCAGATGCCCAACCTGCTTTCACCACCATCCCCACTATTGACATTAATGGCCTACAAGGTGACAGCGCCCTTCCCATGGAGGAGCACATCTCTGCTGGTCTGCTCTGGGCCTCCCAACATACCCTCCCGGGGGCCAGCGGTTCACAGCTATCAGGGAGCTGTTCACATTCCTCCTTACCTGGCCTCAGTGCCCCTTTGGGGCATTGCACTGCACTTGCCCCAGATGCAGTCCCTGGCCCTCCTTCTATCTTCCTAACCCAGTTCTGTCTGTCCCCAGCTGATCTCTGAAGCTAACACTTCGAGAAGCTCTCCAGGGGCTAACAGAGAGAGTTGGAGGATTTCAAGTGTCAGGGTAGCAGGGTGGTGGGAGAGAAGAGGCAGAGGCCAGACCTGAACATCTGGGTAGACCCATTCTCAGAGAGGGTCTCAGAGAGGGACACTGGACTGGGATCCTTGTCCCTCTCTCTTGCCTGGGGCTGGGTGGTTGCCTGCAAAGATCCCATGGAGGAAGCTCAGTCTTAGCCATCTGTCAGTCCGTTTAAGATCTGCATATGGAACAACTTCCATATGTAGTTCTAGTGCTTCCCTCCCTCTGGTCTCCACTGTTGCCTGGACATACCTGTGTCCTGGGCTTCCACAAGCACTGTGTATGTGTCCCCAGGCTGGGCACCCTGCAGAGACTGAGCCGTGCGTACCTTCCCAGAGTCCTCCTCGATGCAAAGCCAGCCCTCTGAGTCATTGACCAGGGAGAACCTAAGGTCCACAGAAAGGGGTGGGATGGAAAGGCGCTAGAAATATGCATGGGGTCTTGCCCAGAAACCTCCAAGATCATGTGATCTGCTCAAGTTCACATCCTAACTGTGACAATAGGGGCAGCAGCATTGCCGGGGTGCCCAGTCTCTCTCCTCAGCTTTAACACTTATTGGGGAATAAGGGTGGTTGGACAATGGATACTGTGGGTGGGGACCCTCTAGGTCATGGGCTGATGTCTGGATGGGATCAGAACCTGGAAAGAGCTTTGTCTGTGCTGCAATCTGGGTAGGGAGCGGAGGGAGGGCCAGGTCCTTCCTCCAGGTGAGGAGGTATAATCTGAATTTCCATAAAGCCTAAACACCATCCCCTGCCATGCTTATGCAGTCCATCCAGCCCTGATCCCCACCTCCACCCCAAGGAGTTGCAACCTGGACACTAGCCATAGTTGGGGTATATTCTAGATAATGTGAATCTCCTTTGAGGCCCTGGAGTCACCTCTGGGGAACATGGGCAAGCCAGCCCAGGTAAGGGCTCACCTGAGAGTTCTGTTCATGGGATCCAAGGCCTGGATGGTCAGCAGGAGGGAGCCAGCTGGCGTACTGATTGGGATACTGGCTTCATAGCTCTCTTGGTCCAACTTAGGGGGTGGCATCACCCTCTCCACCAGCACAGTCACTGTGGCTGTGGCTTCAGGGCCTGGGCCTGGGCCTACCAGTTCCTCTACATTTCGCACTACCACCACCACCTTGTGGTGGGGAACTGCCTCATAGCTGAGGTTCTAGAAGCAACAAAGCCTGGGTTACTGTATGGGTCAGGGGATGGCACACTTGTACATGAATATGTGTGTGTTTGCCCCTTTCCTACCCACCCAGACACTTACCTTGTGGAGTCTGAGTTGGACATGACCAGAGTCTGGCTCCCAATCCAGGGCAAAGATCCCTTCCTTATCCCCTCCCTCAATGGCAAACTCCATGAGGCGAAAGGCAGGTTCAAGGTCAGCATCAGTTGCCATCAGTGTGGCCACCAGAGTACCAGGCTCCACATCCTCGGGGAGGCTTACAGGACCAATCTGGAGAGATGTTGAGGAGGCAGTGAGCCCCAGCAGTGTTTTCTCCAGGGTCTCCCCACTGCTTCTGCTTACCTGGGAGGTGGTAAACTCAGGGGCATGGTTATTGACGTCTGTGATCATGATTGCGACCTCACACATGCTTCTAAGGCCTGGAGCAGGGAAGGGCTTGTGGTGAGGCCCAGGTAAGAACAGAGGAGCCAGGGGCCCAGGTCACCATCAGGGAACTTACCTTCCTCTGCTCCTGCTAGGTCAATAGCCAGCACCTGAAGCAGGATATCTTGGCCAGCTTGGAGGGGGGCAGTCCCCACGGTCACACTGCCTGAGGTGGGATCTAGCTCAAAGGCTCTCCCTTCAGCCCCCTCCTTGGGCTGAGGGCTCAGGAGCTGATACACAATGTGGGAATTGGGAGAACCAGGGGCATCTGCATCCTCTGCCAGCAGCTGAGTCACTTCAGTGCCTGCAAGACAGCAGGTGGGACCAGGCTTACCTCACCCACTTCTCTTTTGTGCTGGACTGAACTTCTCATGGGTGTGTGTGTGTGTGTGTGTGTGTGTGTGTGTTCTGAAGGACATAGAAATGGCAGCCTGAAGCTAGAGCCCCACTGCAGAGAAGCAAGATGGGATGGTTTAGAGGTACTCCACCTTTCCTGCACCTCTGTTAAGACCCGTTGCCCACCTGGGGGGCTGAGCTCAGGGATGCTGATCAAGGGACCACTTGGGGGGCAGACAGGTGCATTGTCGTTTTCATCCATCACCACCACGTGAAACTCCAAGGGTTCTGTGTAGTCCTCATCATGGGAATTCTGAGCCCGCACCTGGAGCAGGTACTGTAGTGGGTGGGGTGAGTTGGGGTTCAGGTCAGGACCAAGGGCGGCTCCAGCCTGCCTGGGTCTAGGTCCCGTGTGGTGACCAGCTCCAGCTCTTTTTTTTTTTTTTTTTTTTTTGGTCTTTATAGCTCCAGCTCTTCTGGGCTCTCTTCTACTGCCTTAGCATCTGTGGGAATGTGACATCTCCCAAAGCAATCAGACAGTTACTAACACTCTCCAGCCAACCCCCCTCAATTCCCTCTAATTTCACCTCAGCCTGGGCCTCTCGGTCCAGCTCCATGGTCACATAGAGTTTCCCTTCTGCATCCACATCAAAGGGTCCAGGGGGTTGGCTCTCCAAGTGATAGTGCACGTTCCCCCCACTCCAGTGTACCTGGGAAGAGGACATAGAGTGGCCACGCTCACAAAAAATCCATGCCAGTCCTATGTCCCAACTTAGGCAAGGAGCCTGGGCCCCAACTACTGCATGCCCCCAGACAAATTACTGCCCACCCTGGGCCTGGAGTCCGAGTAGCATCCTTCTGTTTGGGGCACTTGTCATTGTAGTAACTCCATAGTAGCTTTGCTTTGTCCCAAGCTTCAGCCCCAAGTGCCTGAATGACCAGGTTATTTTCTTTTCTGTCCTCTCAGGCTGGGCCTGACCCCAGAGGATTCCTAGAAAAGGCCTGAGACATTCCTGCCTTGGGTGACAATCCACATGGCAGAAAAAAGAGGCAGCTGTTCTCCCTGAGGAAACTCAAGGGATCAGAACACTGAGCTACACCTGCCAAAGATGGCAGTCAAGAGACTCAGGGCTTGGTCCCAAGGCCTTACATACCTCACTCCACAGTAGGAAGTGGTAGGAAGTATAGAGGGAGGAGTCAGGGTCAAGTTGGGTCCCAGACCTGTCTTCCAAACACTCATGAGACTCAGGTGCAGCTGCACCATCCATGAGGTTCCATCGGTCACCGATAGCCATTTACTCACCTGGGCAATGGGGTGTGGATATGGGACTTTGAGATTCTCTGCCAGGTGGATAGGCTCTAGGGGCACCCAGGTATTCTGTACTATGGAGACCTCAATGGTGGCTGTGGCCTGGTGGCCTGAAGCATGGTCGCCCATGTCCTTGACCTGTACCAATAGTTGATAGGGCCCCTCCAGGGCATGGTCGAGACTGGTGCTCCCTAGAAGAGATAGGATGGTTGCCTGAGCATTGGGCCAGGGAGCAAGTACCAGGCTGTCCTTCCCCGTGAGTACCAAGCACAAAGCCAAGAATAAGCAGGTGTTTAGGAGGCTCTCTTGGCCAAAGGATTAGAGGGGTGTTTAGCACCATCACAAGTATCCAACTGTGTTGTAACAGTGTGCAATGGCACTTTCATATTAACAGTGAGTGGTGGATGGACTGGAGCAGTAGATGGACAGTCAGGATAGGGAAGTGGCTGATGGGGGATAATCCACGGAATGAATGGGTGGCAAGCTAGGTGGATAGAGAGGGCTTTGGGTGTGTGGATGGATGAGGAGCATGTGGATGAGTGAGTGTATTGGGCAGGTGGGCTGCCTGGTGGTTGGAAGAAGATGGGTGACAGGGTGGCTGGCTGTGTTGATGTATGATTCACTTTACCCTCCATCCCCAGCCCATGCCTCTGGTTAACACTCTCAGGGGCAGATCTCTCCTTTCATCGGTTATGAGATCTCCATACTCCAGATCTGCGGGTTATTCCCCTCTGGTCTCCAGAACTTAGAACGAAAGTATTCTGTTCACCCTATTTCCTATCTCCCTGTGCATGGTCAAGGCGTGGCCTTTGTCTTGCTGCTTTTTCCTCCTTCACCTCTAGCCCCAGCTCATCCACCCGTTATGGCTCAGGGGCCCCCTCCTCCAGCATTCCCTGACCCTTCAACACAACTAGCTCAGACTCACCCTCAAGGCTGAGGGCCAGAGCCCCCAGCCGAGGCTCTAGCTGGAACATGTCCGATGAAGGTTGGGCTGGGCTCTGGCTCAGGATGTGGAATCGAAGATCTGAGTTGGCTGTGCCTGGAGCATCCCCATCCGAAGCCTCAAGGAAGAGGAAGGGGATGCCTGGAGTGTGGAGGGAAAGGTAAACTGTAACAGATGGCAGGGGAGGGAGACTCCTATGCCTCCCCTATTTCTCCTTGGCTCCTGTTCTGTAACCATCATTGTATCAGGATCCTCAAGGTGAGCCCCACAGATTTTCAATACACTTCACAGATGGGCAAATGGAAGCTAAGAATAAATGGGTCCCTCAGTGGAGTGGGAAGGGTACAGGATGGGGCAGAGATGAGGGAGAAGCTTAGACCCTGCCTGCCTTGTCCTTGTGTCTCTTTACTCTGCTGCCCCGTCAGTGCCCACCTGACCTCGCTGCATGCAAGGTGGCTGCTCTGGTCACTCACCAGGCCTGGTGCCCTGGCTGAGCTGAGCTGTGAAGATGGCCTGAGAAAATTGGGGCACATGATCATTCTCATCCTTCACATGCACAATCACAAGCTGTGGACCCCACAAGACATATCCATCTCCAGTCTCCAGGGTGACCTGGCAAGGAAAGGGAGTCAGTGCCTGGCCATGCCTTTGCTGCTCTATCTTACACCTTGCCCAGCCATACCTGTAGCTTGTATTCCGCCTGTTCCTCCCGGTCCAGGGCACTGGTTACCACTAGGAAACCAGAGTCTGGATCCACAGCAAAGGGGCCCTCAGCTGCCATGCCTGTGTCCCCTGACAGCACGATCTGGCCTTCAGCCTTCTCATGGGGCAGTGGCAGCTAGAGGATGAGAACAAAAATAAAAGGGGTGGCTGGAAAACCCAAAGGATATCCCTTTCACGCAATGGTCTCATTTTGTGTGTGGGAAAACTGAGTCTCAGAGAAGGTTGGCACTTACATGAGGTCACACAGCCAGTACGTAACAGGACTCAGGTTCAAAGTCAGAACTCTTTGCCTTGTTCCTGATGCTCTCCATGCTCTCTGCCCCTCTTTCTAACACTGGAAATCCCCACCAACATTCCATTCTTTAGCTGAGACCCCTACTCTTCTCTGAATAACATTATAACATGTATGCTCCTGAAGGTAGGGCTCAAAAGGGAGCTGGAGCAAGAAAGAGGAGTGGAAGGCAGAGGCAGGAGAATCGCTGTGAGTTCAAGGCCAGCCTTGGATACAAAGTAAATTTAAGGCCAGCCTGAACTACACAGTGAGACCCTGCCTCAAAAACAAACAAACAAACAAACAAACAAATAAACAAAAGGAGTGGTGCTGGAGATGGGGGAAAGAGCACTTTGTAGTGAATGGTAGCTCACCCAGTTCTCAGGCTCACCTTGAGCAGGTACAAAGGGAAATTTCCACGATAATTCTCAGGGACTTCCACAGATAGCTCTGCATCCTGGGCCTCAGGGAAAGCCTGTAAGGAATTCTCACCTTGTTCCAGCTGGCCATACCTCAGGCCACCCACCTTCTGCCATTTGACCTTCTGATCCCACAATGGACCCATAGCCCCAGTTCTGAGCCTCCTGCCCCCACACTCCTCCCATGGCCATGGTAGTTGGTCCAGGTGGAGTTAGGAGCAAGGGCGCCAATCCCCAAGGCCAGGACCTGAAGAAGGGGGTCAGGGCCCACTCACCTGGGGGACAGACAAGCAAAGCAGCCAAAGCCAGGCAGGGACCATGGTCAAGATGGGCCTAAGGGATATGACCATGAGGATCCAGCCCAGATAAGTGAGAAGAGAATTTCCATCCCATCCACATAGCCAAGGGAACCTCTCTATGGTCAAGCCCCATTTGCTCCCCTAAGGCCCTATGGCTCCCTGTTACTTGAAGGGAAATGTCCAGCTCCTCAGCCACTGGTGAGGACCCTAGGCCCAGCCACCCAGCTGCTTGGCTGTTGCTCTCATGGTGACCTCCATAGGAGTTTCACCTCCACACTTCGTCTTCTTCCCACAGCTTGTAGATCTTAAAGTCATAATTTTTCAGCAGTCTCCTGAATTGCAAAAGTTTGAAGCTAGAAAGCTGACTGTGAGGGTCCCTCCCTGTAATTGCCTCACATTGCAGGCCAGGCCTGAAGGGCAGAGCCTGGGCAAGGTCACAGAGGACTTGACAGCAGGATTCCTCCTGGAAGAGAGGACTTGTGGTGGCTTGGGGACTGTCCTGCTTCCCACTGCCGTCCTCCGGACACAGAGTGCCCTCAGGGAAGAAGCTCTGCTAGTATCACGGCATTTTCCAGTGCTCAACATGTAGCTCAGCACTAGGATCATAGATACCGCTCCATGTTGGGTCCCTGGGAATTCTTCCCCGACAATGGACAAGCGGAGGGCAGGGCTCCGTTCCCCCTTAACCCCACCAACTTTGGCCTGGTCCACAGTGCGGTGCTCCCGGCGCCTCACCCACTGGTGTCAAAGGTAGCTCCTTGTGTCCAGCTGCCGAGAGAGAGAGAGGGCTCCTTCTCCGGGGAGACTGGGTCTAGCTGGGCTGGGTGGGGAAGGGCAAGGCGGACACTTGAGCAGGTAGGCGGTTCTACCGCACTTGCTCAGGAGTGGAAATTGCTTCTGGGCCCACAGCAGCAGGCCTGGCCCCGCCTAGCCCCCCAAGTTACTCATTGACTTTGGGAAGCTGGGAGCTGCTCAGCATCCGTGACTGCCAGCCCCAGGAGGTGGGCAGATCATTGTCTGGCACTGTCTCACCCTGACACAGACCAGTGGGCACAGAAGTCTGGCCCTTTCCTATGGCTGCAGACTCAGCCCCACTTTCCCCCTGTGTACTGGCAGCTGTAGCTGTGCCTTTGCACACTCTGTTCCTTTTCCTTGGATTGCCCTTGCCAGCCCTTCATCGGTGTGGTGAGTACCTGCTCATATTTCAGCATTCAGCTCAAATAGTTCCTTCTCCAGGAAAGTGCTCTGTGCTCACAGGCTGGCTCAGGGGTCTCTTCTGGACATGTCCCCACCACCTGCTCTGCGCTGCCTTTGTCACTGTACACAGGACACCAGCTGCTCTCCCATACATGATGGGGAGATGGGGAGCCCTTCCAGGGCAGGACTTGAGGACCCAGCCATGACTTGGCCCTCATCCTGCCTGGCCGCTCCTGACTGGCTTGGAGAACTCAGACAAGGACTGGAGTTTGCATCAGATGGAGGGTGGATGAGCAGTGTATGACATGAAGTGGGTGTTAGGGGTTCTAGACCACCTGCAGGACTGGGGATGGGGAGAGAAGCCTGTGCACTCTCCTGAGCACCCCCCTCAAGTTTTCACGCTGGCCCCCGGTCACTGACAGCACTGGGACAGTGGGCTATCTCATGCCTCTGAGAAGGAATGAGAAGACTGAGCCAGCTCAGGTGACCTTGAGGGAGTGCAGGGCTGACAGGGGCTCTTTCACCAGGGAGGCTGTCAAGTAGACTCAGGAAAAATCTCTGGGGCCTGAAATGAGGGGGGATGGTGGGAAGGTCCCTCCTGCTCCCCATTCTTAGAGTTACCTGTGAGCACTCCTGGGGTCTCTGCACTTCATATCTGATTATTCCCTGTCAGGCTGGAAGCTGGGTTGGGACCTCTCAGCTGCCTCCAGCCTTGTCACAAGCTAAATGCCTGTCCCAGGGTCACTCAGTTACTCAGCCTGGATCCGTGCTGTGTGGAGTCTTGCCGTGAAGGGGTCTCACATGAGTTCAGCTCCACTAGGCACCTGGCTGGCACAGTTCTGAGTACACACCTTCATTACTCTACTTGCTCTGTTCTGAAGGGGCACTGCCTCATGTCGCACACTGGGGCAGAGAGAGGCTAGGTAGTTTGCCCAGGAACACATAGTCAATAAGCAACAGAGCTAGGAAAGCCTTGGTTTCTCTTTAGGCCTGGGAACACTCACCTGCTTTGAGGAAACCCTGCCCTGCACACATGTCAAAGTGTTTTGGTGGCTGTCAGGAGGGGGTGGGGAGTAGCAGCAACTTTGAGTAGTTAATACTGCTTTGGGCACACAGGTGTTTCTCAGAGGCTCCTGCTTCTCTCATACACACATGGAGGAGCAGCCCACAAACCACCTCTTTTTTGGGGAGAGGTACAGGGGATTGAATCCAGGGCCTTTGTATATCCCCAGCCCTTTTTTATTATTTTGAGATAGTGTCTTGCTAAGTTGCCTAGGCTGGGGTCAAATTTATGATCCTCCTGCCTCAGCCTCCCAGAGTGCTGGGATTAATCATGCTCAGCTCAAACCTCCTCTTAAACAGGCTGCTATCAGGGTTCTAACCAGGTCTGGAAGGTGGCCAGTGGTCTGTACAATGAATGAATGAAATGAATGGAGAAATATTCGGACCCCGGTCTAGAACTTTCTCAGAAGCTGTTGCCTGCCTTGCCCAGGGCTGCCTCCACCCCTGGAGTCAAGCAGATCTGTACACCAGTCCCCACTAAACCAATTCTCACCCATCACCGAATGCAAAGGGTTGTTTCCAAAACCATGCAGTAGTCCTCCTTATCCATGGGGGACACTCTCCAAGACCTCTGCTGGATGCCTGAAGCCAAAGACAGTACCAAACCCTAGATATACTATGTTTTTTGTCTGAACATATCTACCTGTGATAAACTTGTCTTTTTACTTGAAGAAAGCACTTTATGGCTTCTCTTTGGCATATCTGAATCGCCAGCTTCATTACTCTTGCACTCTAGGGGCCATACTTAAGTAAAATAAAGGTTACTTGTTCACTAGCACTGTGACACCAAGTTGGTTGATCTGAAATAGCTTTTAGGTGACCAATAGGTAGGGAGCATATACAATGGGAATCTACTTGACAACGAGTAATTCTCATCCTGCATGGGACAGAGCTCAATGGTTCAAGATTTCGTCTTGCTCCTCAGGTCATGCCACTTAAAACTTATGAATTGTTTACTTCTGGAATTTTCCATTGAATATTTTCAGACTGCAGTCCACAAAGGATAACAAAAACTACAGGAAGTGAATCTGTAGATAAGGAGGAATTATTGTAGGTAAACTCTTATGAACAGTAAGGGAGCCAGGGGCTCCCATTTGCGGGCATGGGTGAGTGAGGAAACATCCGTAAGCACATAGGCACACATCCTGATGCAAATACTGTGTCTTTCATTCCAGGCAGGGAAGGCTCTGGGGGCGCTGTTCTTGCCAAAATCAAATTAGCCCATGCTGGCCTGGCCCCTCATAGAGAACAATGAGGGACCCCTCAGTACCCCAACCTCAGTCAGGAGGTGGAGGAGCCATCTGGAGTCAAGAATGTCTTGAGCATACGTCTCTCATCCCCATGCTTAACAAACCAGCCAGTGTCTCCCCACCCCCCAGGTCTTTGAGCCCCCTGCCCCCGCTCCATCTGTCTCCTCAGTCTAGCTGGCTAGACTGCCAGGTCCTAACATTAGATCATCAAGACCACACCCGGGTCTTACCAGAATGGGGCAGGGAGTATAGTATCTCCCAGCTTCAGAAATCCTTCCTGCTCCTGAAGCCCCCCGAATGGGAAGAAACAGTCTACAAGCCTGACATGTCAAGAAATAGTCTTTATTACAAAAATCTGTATGTAAACAAATAGCAAGTGCACTGAACAGCCTTCCTCCAGACTCCAGGGCATGCACAGCTGGGTGCAGAGGAAAGCAGTCCCCACGTGCAGGCCTACTCCGCAAGCTGGGCCCCGGCTGCTGCTTGGATGCACATGGGCCTGCACATGCATCCCTGGGGACCCAGCCCTCACTGGCCACTGGGAGCTGCCTGCCTGTGCAGCACTGTCTGTCCATGACCATTAGGTGGGGGAGGCCCATTGGGCAGCTCCAAGATGTGTAGATGCTCAGCCAGTCCAGAGGCACTGAGGGTGGTTGGCTGGACCAGCCCACCAGCCCATCCATCCCTCTGCCTACCACAGTGAAGGGCTTAGAGAACTGAGAGGTCATGGCAGGACTTGGACTTGGCTCGAAAGGCCATCTTGCGGCTGTTGCGTGCTACGATGCGGCCCAGGAAGCGCTTCGCCTTCTTACCAAGGCTCTCCCGCCGCCGGGTACCAGCTTGCCGCCGGGCATTGGCCTCTTTGCTGTCCCTGCGCAGGCGTATCTGGCGAACGACACCTTCAAACAGTGCCTGGACGTTGTGGTGCAATGCTGCTGATGTCTCGATGAACTTGCAGTCAAAAACCACGGCGCAGGCCCGGCCCTCTGGTGTGGTGGGGACAGGCACACACCAGTAAATAAAGGGTGGGGAGGCGGGGAGCCCACTCAAACCCTGGCCATCCCCCGGCAGCTATCAGGAGTCTTTGAATAAGGCAAGGGGGAGCCCTGGGCCCTCCTCAGAAACACAAAGACCGTAGCTCATGTACTGAAGATCCCTGCCACTGCACCGTTACCCCAAAGGCTGAATGTGCCTGTGTTTAAGGCGTTCCCAAAAAAGAGATTCATTTATTTATTTGAAGTCCAATATTAAAATAAAAGTGCTATAGTAGTCAACCAACTAAAACAAAAACTATTTTGGACAATTTAGTGTCCTATGACTTAATACTATATTAGGCTAAATGACTCAGTGGACTGAGGGGAGAAGCAATGTCACCAAGGCACCGGCAGGTTCCTCTGAGGGGAATCAGTGCTGGGGGCACAGAGGAGGATTCTGAGCCCAAGAGGGAAGGGACAAACTTATTCTGGGATGGGCCTCAGCCCGGAACCAGGCTCTTTCCTTCCGGCTTGGTTCCCTGCACTTGCTCCCACCACTCAACCCCCACCTGTAGGGTCAGGGCCAAAGGGAGAGCAGAGGAGGGCTGTAAGGTGACTCCGCTCCCCTAGAAGATCTGATTCTTTCTCTGGGCCTTTGGGAGGGACAGCAGCCCTCTCTACCTTTCTTCATCTTCAAGTTTTCTTCCTGAACATTTTTAGCCACTGATGATCTCCAGGGACTCAGGCTGAGCCAAGACTGGACCGCAGCCCAGCCAGGATATCCCTCCCTTTGCTGACTTGCTGCCCACTCACCATCCACAGAGACTTCACGGGAGCGCACCAGATCACTCTTGTTGCCCACTAGGATGATGGGGATGTCATCTGTCTGCCGTGCCCGCCGCAGCTGGACCCGAAGTTCTGAAGCCTTCTCAAAGCTGGCCTTGTCAGTTACTGAGTACACGATGACATATGCATCCCCCATGGCCATGCAGTGGCCAGGCAACCATCGGCTTCCATCCTAGAGAGAACAACAAATGCACACACCTACCCAGCAGGCCTTGTGCTCCTGCCATGAGCCTGTCACTCCTGGCAGGACCCACCCCTACCCCAGCTCTCTCCTCCTACTCCTTCCCTGGATCCCAGCTGCATCCTACCTGCTCCCAAATGTCATACACCATAAGTGATGCTTC